GGTCATATGTGAGTACTCACACTTACTAACTACACAGCCTTGCACACAGTCAGTACTCAGTGAATTTTTTTTTTAATTCTAGAACTAAAGGAACCTTACATAGCATCTTAATTTGCAGAAAGGGAAACAGATGCCTACAGAAATTGACTCTCTGAGTTAATCCACTTCGTTGGACATATGATCCTTTTTAGAATACATGTCCCCAGACCTAGACTCCATTTTCCAATTCAGATTCTTTTCAGGAAGATTTTCAGACATTTCATATTGGTGGTGCCATATTGGATTTTGTCTTTATTGGATTATGATCTTCAGCTACTTGCAGCCTAGTTTTTCTCTTAGCCAAAGACTTGTTTCTTCACCTTTTAAGCCTCTCACAATTTAGCTTATCATCCCTGTGGTGCTGTGTGGCTCGTCCCTCCAATTAAAATGTGTTAAAAGGTGGCAGAGCCTCACGGTTGCTAGGCCATATCAAGAAATGAAAGCGGTTTCTGTGGTGGTTGGATGTCTTAGAGAAGAAGAGATGTCAAGCACTTTCTGATTCATCTTTGTATCCCCCAGTGTACCCAACCCAGGACATCTTTATAATGGGTGCTCAGGAAGTATTTGTTAAATGAATGAACGAATGACTGTCTAATAAACCAAAGGATAAAAGATTAAAAGCCAGGTGTGAAGTTCTGAACAAGAGCTTGGGTTTGTCTGCCTCAGGAGGGCTCACGTGCCTTCTTGCTTTCTAGGAGCATCTACAATGCAGCCACTTGGTACTATCACCACTGCCAAGATAGGATGCCAATCGTTATGGTGACAGAAGATGAAGAGGCAATTCAGCAGTATGGAAGTGAAACGGAAGGAGTGTTTGTGATTTCCTTCAAGGTATTTCCAGCTGGTGTGTCTATATAAGTATGTGTGTGTGCATGAGTGTGTGTGTCTGCGTGTGTTCATTTCCATAGTAGTGCCCGTGAGGCTCTAGATGGCTTTGGCAGTATAGAAAAGGGAAAATAAAGAATGAAGGAAAGGAATAAAGACACAGACCTACTAGAGAATGGACTTGACGATATGGGGAGGGGGAAGGTTAAGCTGTGACAAAGCGAGAGAGTGGCATGGACATATATACACTACCAAATGTAAATAGATAGCTAGTGGGAAGCAGCCGCATAGCACAGGGAGATCAGCTCAGCTCGGTGCTTTGTGACCACCTAGAGGGGTGGGATAGGGAGGGAGGGAGGGAGACGCAAGAGGGAAGAGATATGGGAACATATGTATATATATACCTGATTCACTTTGTTATAGAGCAGAAACTAACACACCATTGTAAAGCAATTATACTCCAATAAAGATGTAAAAAATAAAAATAAATAAAACGTGAAAACTGAAAAAAATAATAATAGTTTAAAATTAAACTAAAATTTAAATTTAAAATAAAAAATAAAAAAAGAATGAAGGAAGACTTTAAGAAGTTCCATGTCTTCATCACTCTCCAACTAATTAATCTTGAGTTTGCCAAATTTGGGCAAACTCCCTGTGACTGTAAGGCCTCCAGTATCCAAGACTGCAGCCCAATAAACTCCAGTTCATAGTAAACTCATGTTTATAGTTATAATAATAATACTAGTAGTAATGATGATGATGATAGGTTGAATCTGATAAAACTGCCAATATTCTGTTGTTTTTGACTTACAAAATGGCTATTCTACATGGTTCCACCTAAGAATAATACCCAGCGTTGATCTATGCCAGGCACTGTTCTGAGTGTATTATTTCATTTAATTCTTGCAACAACCCTGAGGCAGGTGTTATAATCCCCATTTTATTGGTGAGGAAGCTAAAGCACAGAAAAGCTAAGCAACTTGCCCAGAGTCACAGGGAGAAAGTGCTGGAAGTGGGTTAGAGCCCAGGCAGTCTGACTGCAGCACTCTGAACCACCATGCTGCCTCCCAGACTGTCTTTCTGAATACGCACAAGACATAGGTTTTGTTTTTTAACATCTTTTTTTTTTTAACATCTTTATTGGGGTATAATTGCTTTACAATGGTGTGTTAGTTTCTGCTTTATAACAAAGTGAATCAGTTATACATATACATATGTTCCCATATCTCTTCCCTCTTACATCTCCCTAACATCTTTATTGGAGTATAATTGCTCTACAATGGTGTGTTGGTTTCTGCTTTATAACAGAGTGAGTCAGCTATACGTATACATATATCCCCATATCTCCTCCCTTTTGGGTCTCCCTCCCACCCCTCTAGGTGGTCACAAAGCACCGAGCTGATCTCCCTGTGCTATGCAGCTGCTTCCCACTAGCTATCTATTTTACATTTGGTAGTGTATATATGTCCATGCCACTCTCTCACTTCGTCCCAGCTTACCCTTCCCCCTCCCCGTGTCCTCAAGTCCATTCTCTACGTCTGCGTCTTTACTCCTGTCCTGCCCCTAGGTTCATCAGAACCATTTTTTTTTTTAGATTCCATATATATGTGTTAGCATATGGTATTTGTTTTTCTCTTTCTGACTTCACTCTGTATGACAGACTCGAGGTCCATCTAGCTCACTACAAATAACTCAATTTCATTCCTTTTTATGGCTGAGTAATATTCCATTGTATATATGTGCCACATCTTCTTTATCCATTCATCTGTCGATGGACACTTAGGTTGCTTCCATGACCTGGCTATTGTAAATAGTGCTGCAGTGAACATTGGGGTGCATGTGCCTTTTTGAATTATGGTTTTCTCAGGGTATATGCCCAGTAGTGGGATTGCTGGATTGTATGGTTGTTCTATTTTTAGTTTTTTAAGGAACCTCCACACTGTTCTCCATAGTGTATGTATCAATTTATATTCCCACCAGCAGTGCAAGAGTGTTCCCTTTTTTCCACACCCTCTCCCAAAACATAGTTTTAAAGGCCAGTCTTATTTGTCCACTGTTCCTCACTCTTCTCTACTTGTGACCATGGGTGGGGGTCAGTACGGATAAAGGAAGGGGTGATATGTGATACTACTAATGTGAAAGCTGTTGGACCAGTTTGGTGTACATGTAACAAATAGAGGCAGCATTATTGGTGACAGTTTTTTGAGCTGTCTTAAGGACACAGTTCTCCTATTTCTTAGGTACCTTTTCAGAGAGTAGGAGCCTGTTAATCTCTAAATAGATTACTGATCTCAAAACAAAAATATAAAAAATAGATTACTGGTCTCTTCTGCCTGCCCAGTTGGTCAGTCAGGTTCCAATGGTTGATATTGTTTTTTGATTCAGAAACTAGACTAAGGCCCTCCATTACCCCTGTCAGTTTACAGAAAGTCTAGTTGGATTTTGAATTGTAGATCCTATGAGGGTTCCCATTTGCCTGTATTGCTAAAGATTTGCCAATAGAATTTTCTTGCCCTGCTATAAAAAAGTGTTCTGGTATGCCAGAGAATTCCAGGGGCGCTGGATATTAATGGCAGTGTCACTTATTTTTTCTGTTGCAATACATCATGTCTTGTTCCTGCAGAAGACAGTTGACTAAAATTATATTTTTCTACTTTTTATGAAAATTACTTTTCTCTGTAGTCTGGCAGCATCGTACAGTTTGATTTTGTATAGCATTTCCTAAGCAAATTGTGTGACCGAGGGCTTCATAGAGGTGTATGATAGCAGAAAAAAAGAGATGCTATGAAGTTCAGATGAGCAGGAAGCCCAGAATTTTCTGTGGAGACTTGAAGGTAGATGGGGAAGAGTGAGGACAATAAATCCCTCTTGAAGAGTTGGTTCGTAGTGGCAAAAATTTGGTGTTGATGAGTAATTAGTGACCATAGAATTGCAGTGACGTTAGCACAGACAGAACTTCTGGAAGGACTAGAGAAAGAAAGGAAGCAATTTGAACAAGACCCTGAAATTAGTGGGAGCAGTGCTGGAGTTGACAATAAGGATAATTGACTACATTTTAGTTTGAGAAAAGAGAATGTGCCAGCCTCTACTTTAGGCTTAAAGTTGAGTTAAAATCATACATAAGTTTGATTTTATTTAGTGAGAGTCCACCATGCGAGGGCATGTATTCTGGACACAGGAAGTAGATGGAGCACAGTCAGCCTCACCACACCAGCCCCCTGTGGGTGGTCGCCTTGGTGTCTTGTCTAGGGCCTCTCTGAAAGTTACACCAAGAAGTGCAATAATATTCAATAATGTTCTACTTGGAGGGGACCATGACACTTGTTTCAGAATTATGTTTCGTACTGGGTTGTCACATTGACAGAGCATCAAGTGCCCCCACATGAAAAGTGTGACTACATCTGTATAGTCACAAAAGAAGACGCAGTCCTTGGGGAGTTTATGAGGCTGGAAAGCCTAACACCAAAGAACAGAAACATCTTTCCCCTTCTCTGCTCATCCAAGATTGCCAGGGGGTTGGGGGAGGGGAGACACTTCCTTATTACACTTTACTCCCTTGCCACTTTTTGCCTGCTTATTTAGGTTTCTTATAAATTTCAGATATTTCAGGGTGAAAAAAAAGAGACAGTGCAGACGTAGGAGCTTTTCCCCTCCATTCACTGTGGGCCGTTATCTGCGGCAGTGAGATACGTGTAAAGACAGGCATCCCGGCCGTGTGCATGTACACGCATGTGTGTGGAGAGAGAGGGAGATTTGAAAGTGCAGAGTAATCAGGGAGGTAGAAGCGTTCCACAGTAGGAATGGCCTCCCTGGGTTCCTTTGGCAAGGCTGCAGGGATTAGTGAGATGGTAGAAATGAACTGGTAGCATGAGGCTTGGGAGGGTAATGCTCATGTAACACTTCAAAACTGCATGCCAGCAGCTCCTGTTCGGGACTTTTTGTAATGCTGCTATAACAAAGAATCATCATCTTCTGACCATGTTTCTCTTGTGCCTTTATTAAACGCAGAGTTATCTGGACAATTTTTGGCCTGATTTAAAGGCCACCCACGAGCTTTGTGAGTCTATCCTTCAGTCTCGACGAGAAAGAGAGAATGAGAGTCAGGAGAGCCACGGGAAGGAGTACCCAGAACATCTACCCCTGGAAGTGTTAGAAGCCGGCATTAAGTCTGGGCGCTACATCCAGGTGAGGGTGGTAATGGGGAATCGGCGCCAGGATCAGCCAGTGTGTTTCCTTCTCTTTACTTGCCTCCTGTCACAGCCCTCTGATTTCAAAGGCTGTCAATGAGACGGGCCTCAGTAGGCCAGGGCTGTCGATGTTCAGGGTGATGTGGGAGTCTCCTCTGTAGACAACGCCCTCCGGTTTGGACCTACTCTCTACTGTTCTTTCTTTTCTTTTTTTTTTTTTTTTTTTAATTAATTAATTTTATTTTTGGCTGTGTTGGGTCTTTGTTACTGTGTGTGGGCTATCTCTGGTTGTGGTGAGCGGGGGCTACTCTTCATTGCCGTGTGCGGGCTTCTCACTGCGGTGGCTTCTCTTGTTGCAGAGCACAGGCTCTAGGCACACGGGCTTCAGTAGTTGTGGCACGTGGGCTCAGTAGCTATGGCACACAGCATGTGGAATCTTACTGGACCAGGGCTCGAACCTGTGTCCCCTGCATTGACAGGCGGATTCTTAACCACTGCGCCACCAGGGAAGTCCCTCTAGTGTTCTTAATTACGTTACATATCGAGCATTGCACAAGTAGGTTTAAATGCCTCCTGTCACTGGGAAAGAATATATTTTTGAATCAAGGTCTGGAGGTTTGGCAGAATTTTAAAGTTGTTGAAATTTGGCTTCCTCATGCCTTTGCCATTTTCCTGCCTCTTTCAAGGTCCCCTTTGTGACCCCTCAAAACCCAGGAACCAGGTCCTGTCAGGGTCTTGAGAAGGAATCAAATAAAATTGCTATTCAGATTTCAACAGCTTTATATGCACTCGTGTGTGTGTGTGTGTCTGTGTGCACATACAGTTTTATCACATGCATAGATTTGTGTATTCACCACCATAATCAAGATACAGAACTGTTCTACCACGAATTTTACATTTTCTAACCAGCAACTCAGACAATTTTTATGCAGTCTGAAGGTTGAGCCTCCCACTGTAAACTCCTTCCCTAAAATGTGGGTGTTTTAATGAGTATATCTATGGAGAGGCTAATGCTTCCAATTGGTAATGAAGTTTACAGCATTCCTGGGAGGATATTTTATGGGAGAAGATTTTTTAAAGACTGCTCATCACTTAGGTAAGATAAATCCTGGCACTTGCAACACTTGGTATAGCTAAGAGTATGTCAAAATGATGGTACATTCTCTGGAGAAAATAAACTTTGGTGATGAATTATTATTCCTAAAGAAAGGGATCACAAACCTTATAAGAATATAATGGGGATATTTTCATTAAAATTTTTAACTGTACCTTTTGGAGGGTAAAGCAAGCAGAAAAGAAAATTTTCACATTAAATGATTTTTATTTTGATTTTAGGGAACTCTGAACGTCAACAAACACAGAGCACAAATAGAAGCTTTTGTTCGACTTCAAGGAGCCAGCAGTAAAGATTCAGGTTCAGTGTAAACCTTACATAAATTTCCGTACCACTTTTTTATTCTGATATTACACATTGAAGAAAGCAAAGTTGAAATTGTCACATCATATGCGCCATGTCAAATATCCCTACCTACACTGGCTGTGTGGGATCGTGGGTTGGTTTTTTTTCCTCCCCAGCTTTTTGTCTATAATTTCTGATTTTATGGTAATAACTCTAAAGAATGGTAATAGCTAATATTTTATTGAGTGCTTATTATATATCAGATACTGCTGTAAGCACTTAAAGTAGGTATTATTATTGTTTACCACCTTTTACACGTGAAGAAACTAAAATACAGAGAAGCAAAGTGACTTTACCAGGATCACTCACCTGGTACGCTGCGGGGCTAAGCCTGAGGCTGAGGCAGGCAGGCTGTGATTTTAAGATTTTGCCCTGTACTGCCTCACTGTGCTGTATTGCCTCATTGGAATTGTATCAAAAGTAACGTCAATGAAAAAAACTGTGTAAATAAGTTTTATCATAATAGAGTGTATTGTTAGTTCTGCAATGACAGGGTGAAAGTAACCCTGATAGATAGTCAAGGGCACCTGGTGAGGTTGAGGAGAATGAGAAGCAGTGGCTTAATCCAGGCTTCTGCTCATCAGACTTCTCCCTGTCAGTTCTGCAGTGTCCATAGTTCAGCAGCCTGCTGACCGCTCCCTGGCCGCATGGCCCCTGAAGTTATGGGAGAGAGTCCCAGTGTGGGCTTACATTGTCTCATGCAGGGAACCTACCTTAAAAGATGGCTGAGAGTGGCCTTATGAAAGCACATTATACAGCATGGCATAGCAGCAGTGTTTCTTCCTTCCTAACCTGCGAAACAAAAGTTTGACTTCGGTTTAACTTCACCTTTGAAAGGAGGGAGCTTTTATTTGCAGGAATG